TAGTCGGAGACCTGAGCCTGAGCCTGCCTCCCACTTCTCTCAGTGCCATCACCATTGAGCATGGTTTCCTGCCTGGTCCTTTCCAGACCCCTTACTCCCCCTCGCTGAACTTGCAGTTGGAATGGGACAGAGGACAAGTACATCAGCAAAACCATGAGCAACTCCCCAGGCCTCTGTACCTCAGGCTGTCTACCTGTGGGCCTGCGGCAGCCCCTCTCTCTCTGGGTTTGCTGAGCAACTCCCCAGGCCCCTTTACCTCAGGCTCTCCACCTGTGGGCCTGCGGCAGCCTCTCTCTCTGGGTTTGCTGTCAGGGCCCAGTGAGCTTGCCGTGAGCAAAGGGAGCAGACACGGGAAGCTCCTGCTCTACCACCATGCAGGGATGGAAAATCTCTCCACTGGAATCCAGGGGAAGGGATGGAAGAGGAAGAAAAACAAGCTTGGAGCAGTCCAAGCCGGCTAGGGCCCTCCGTTCCCTCAGGGACACCCCACACCCACCCCACACACTGGGATGAACCCTTGCAGAGGAACAATTCAGATGGTCACACATTCCAGGACCCACATCCGTAAACACATAGCAAGTCCACCAGTGCCAGCACCTCCCCCGGGGGAATCAAGCAGCTGTCCCGGAAGGCACAGGGTCTCTGCAGCCGTCTGCTTTCATCAGGGCTGCAAGCCCCAGGCAGCAGTACTCGGAGCCCCTCTCATCGCTGAGAATAAACTCTGAAGCCAGCGACCCTGCGGACCTGAATCATCAGGGAGCCTGCCGGAGGAGGGGCAGTGGCTCTCCGGGACAAGCAAGCAGGCTATATAAGTTCCAGAAGGCTGGGCTCCGCTCAGACCTTCTCCAGCAGCTGCTGCCTGCCAGACAGGCACCTTCAAAGACCCAGCGCTTACACAATACCCACCATGTCCCAGGTAGGAGGGCCCAGCATGGGCTGTGTTGATGCCAGAGGGAGTGGAGGTGGAGTCCTGGACACTTTCGGCTCTGGCAGCTGTGTCTTGAACTGAGCCCCAAGCATGAACTGGAGGCTCTGCAGCCCTTGGGAGATGGGGGCTCAGGGAGGACCCCCTGAAGAACCCCTCTTCTGTGTGGCTTTGGTGGTATTCCATGGTTTGTTAGGAGGAGTGGAGAGAAATGTTAGGGGTGGGGGCTTAGATCTCTGCATGTGCCTGTGTGTGTGGGCGGGGGGCGCGTTTGTGTGCATGCATGTGTGTGCTGCTGCTGTAACTCAGTGTATAGAGCTTTGTGCATTTGTAGCTATGGCCCCTGCAGCCATGCACGCTGTGTGTAGCTACACACATAGGTCTATCTGTCTCTGTGTATGATATATGCATGAAGCTGTATGTGTGTGCACATGAGGCTGGAGGGGCACAGCTGGGTGCATCCCTGTGCAGGGGTGTAGTGTGTTGCTCTGAGGAGCCTGTCCCAGGCTGACGGAGGAAATGCCTGCACCTGCACCCAAGCACAGGCAGGTCTCAGACTCACAGGCGCCTGGGTTGAGGGGTAGGCTAAACACTGAGCCTGGGTGTCCCCCACCCTGGAGGGACAAACCAGTCTGCCAAGGGAGAGGATTGTCCTTGCTGCCTGCTCCGTGGGTGGGTGGCACTTTGGACTGTAACTCTGTGGGCATCTGGTCCTTCTACCCCATTTCCAGCCCCAAAGACACAAAGTAAATACTGGCGCTTTTGGGCAATCCTTGAGGGACCCCTTGGCACCCAGTGAGCAGGTTTTGGAACTAACCAAATGCCCTAGTATTGCCCAACCTCAGAGATAGTCCCCTTCACCGTTCCCCACTGTGCCCAGCCCTGAGCTTGGCCAGGCAGACAGACACACCAGTATGAGGCTGCAGCAGCCACTGCTCCCAGGAGCTCCCAGGCTATAGGGGAAGGGCACATGGGCAAGTCAGACCAAGACAGCTGGGAGACCTGCAGCAGGTGGAGCATAGTTGGGAAGGCTTTCTGTGGAAGAGGAGTAGAGCCTTGAATAGGCTTGGGTTTAGTGAACAGAGAAGAGGGGTTTGGGCCAAGGCACAGAGGTAGGTGTGCCCGCCTCGAGACTTCGGGTAGTAAAATGAGGCTCTTGGATCTCCAAGGCTGGTGCTCAGGAAGCCCCTATCAAGAAGAAGCGTCCCCCTGTGAAGGAGGAGGACCTGAAGGGGGCCCGAGGAAACCTGACCAAGAACCAAGAAATCAAGTCCAAGACCTACCAGGTCATGCGGGAGTGTGGTGAGTGTCCTCACGCCATCTGGGGCTGGGGGTGGGGGTGCAGGTGTGTGTCTGGTGGGGGGAGGTGGTCAAGGATCCTTTTCTGAGAATCCAGTATTCCTGGACTCAGGAAAGGGTGCACCCATCATAAGGGACCTTCCCTCCTGGGAAGCCAGGCTGGCCCCTGACTTTGCCTCCTCCCACAGAGCAAGCTGGCTCGGCCGCCCCCTCGGTGTTCAGCCGCACCCGCACAGGCACCGAGACTGTCTTTGAGAAGCCCAAAGCCGGACCCGCCAAGAGTGTCTTCGGCTGAGAAGTGCGCACCACTCCCCTTGCTGCCCGAATGCTCAGAAACAGGAGCCTTTCCCAGGAACTCTTTTTTATGCCAGAGCACTTCCTCGCCCCTGCTGTCTCTGGGGCTGCCACCCTGCCCCACAGTCCTGGCCCTTCGACCAAGGGCTCCGCACCAGCACCTTGGAAGCACCAATAAAGAGGATGCCCGTGTGGCCCCGGCGGTTGGAAGGTGTTGGCTGGTCCCTGGCTTTGGCCACTATTGAGGGAGGACAGGGTGGGAACATGGAACATGTCCATTTGGGAGGATCCCAGGGGATAGCACAGGTGCTATGATGGCCACTGCCACATGCTGCCTTGGACGTGGAGACCCGGTGCTGACCTGTGACTTCAGACTCTTCTGAGCCTCAGTTTCCCCTTTTATACTACAGAGGAGTTGAGCTGGAGCCTATTCCATAAAGCAGGCCATGATGACACTGCTCAGAGTGAAGTGGGTGGGGTCTCAGAGACCACCTCTCCCCCTGCCCTCCACAGAAGCTGCTGAGAAGCCTCTGAGGGCCGGCAGACTCTGCAGCACCTGGGGACCTCCAAACCCCTCTCCCTGCACTTTGGTTCACACTGCCTCCTTGCCAGCTTTTGTCCCCTCCAAGGCAAAGCCAGATTGAGATTCCTCTCTGGCAGTCAGTGTCCTGAGCTACTGTCTCTTCCAAACAGTGGGGATAAGCCTCCCACAGTCTGCTCCAACCAGACCGCCTGAGGCATAGGAACACCAGATTCTCAGCCTGCATGACCCTTCCCTCTGCAGTCCTCTGTCCCCCATGTGCCTGGAACTGCCAGGTTCAGAAGACCTATAGAGGCCTGTCCTGTTTTGATGGCAAGACTATGACCATGGACAGGCTGACGGTGGCTCCTTTCGGAGCTGGACTGGCAGAGCCTGGGCTTGTGGTGCCTGGCTCAGGGCTGACGCCTGCTAGGGATGCCCTCCTGCCCCAGGAGGTTCTGGCTGCCCAGAACCTTTCCCACAGTCCCGGCCAGCCTGGCCTCCTAATATAGCCCTGGGTCTGGGCTGGGCCTGTGCTCTGTGCCCCAAGGGAGCAGACCTGCTGTGAGGAAGGGCCTGGTCCTACTTGCTGGACCCCATGGGGAGACTCTTCCCCCAGACACTGAAAGGAGTGTGTTCCCCTGTGTAATCCCAATCTCATCCAGAGCCAAAAAGGTGAGCAGTGGAGACGTGCGCAGAGACGAGGCTTCTGGCCAGTCATGCTGAGGAAGGGGAGCGTCGTCTCTGCAGCTGTAGAAATAGCTCCAGTCTATGGCACCCTTGCCCCAGGCCTGCCGCCACCTCTCATGGAGACAGGACTGGTAGAGAAAACCCTCCCCAGCCTCTGGAAGCCACTGGCTGCCCCAAGACCCCCCATAGGTCCCCAAGGCAGCTGGCCCCCTCAGAGCTGATATCACGGAGCCGTCCTTCCCCGATCCAGGACTTGGCACCTGGCCACATTTTTATGACTCATCTTTACCCATGTGTGGACACAGATTCAGGAGCTGGCTTCCGCAGAGCCACCAGGGAACGCTAACCCCAGCAGCGCCCAGAGCGCATAATATGTTCTCACTCAATCCCACTTTACAAGGCGCAGAGTGCTTCAACTTTAGTAAAGCTGGGACCCACCAGGCCCTTGGGCAGCGCTCCCCTGAGTCTGGGCTGCGGCAGCGTCACACTGCTCACGACAATGGCATTCTGCCCTCTCTCAACCAGCAATTCCTGGGCTGCCTTCGCTCCACTGGACGCCACCCCAGTCACCCCTCGGAGCTGCTGGCACTATCAGCTCTGTCTTCTGTTCCATGCTCTCCTGTCAATAAACTCCCCACGTGGAGACCTCTGTGCCACAGGATGGGGCAGCTTTATGACTCACTTGTATTGCCTAATTGCCATTCTTGTTTTGGGAGCCTTGCTGGGGTTGAACCTAAAGCCTTGGCTAGATTAATGGCACCCAAACAGCAGCCTGGGACCTCAGGAGACAGAAGGAGGCGCCCCGTGCCAGCACCTCTCACTTCAGAAATACGGCGTATCTGTCCTGACTCTAGATCTTGCCCCACACAGACACCTCCCAGCGTCACTCCATACCTTTGGGCCCTCCCATCAGCCAGTCACACTTGCCTGGTGGCCAAGCCCCCTTCCTCCAGGAAGCCACTAGGGTAGCCCTGTAGCCCTAGTCTTCCCCACCATCCCCGTTTCTCCCCAGGCTGGACTTAACGGAGAGCAGACTGACATCTTCACTGTCAGTTCCCTCCCAGCCCTGTGGAGCTTGGTGGAATGCCTGGTGTGAAGGGTCCTGGTGAAGGTTTCGCACCTTTCAGAAGGGGCACCTTCCCCACTCCAACCTGAGCATACCTTTCTTTAGTATACATTCCTGCCCCCAGCCAAGGTCCACGGGACATTCGTCATTTGCTTATCTGAGGCCACTGTGGTTTTTGGCTTGTAGATCCCAATTTCCCAGAACCTGCCCCCATGTGGGTGGGGCAGCAAACAAATTACTAATCCATTCCCCACTTGCTCTCAAGTTCAGAAGCCTCCTGGCAGACACTGGAGCCACGATGAAGCCCCCAGGGCCTGTCCGTACCTGCAGCAGAGTTCTGGTCCTGCTCTCACTGCTGGCCATCCACCAGACCACCACCGCCCAAAAGGTAGCCAGTGTCCACGGGTGTGGCGTGAGCTGGGGGATGAGAGAACGCCTGGGAAGTGGGGAAGAGCCTCCGCATGTGCGAGCGTGTCCGGCGCAAGTGCGTGTGCATCAGTGTGTGTGCCAAAAAATAGTGCAGACCTCCCGCCAGGCACTACCTCAAGGGCCTTACTGGTATTCTCCCACCTAATAGAGGGGATGATCCAATCGCTTCCATTTTGCAAATGAGGAAATACAGTTTTACGAGCCTGGTTCTACCACTTTCTAGTAAGTGACCTCAGGGGAGTGATTTATTCTGTCTATGTCTCAGTTTCCTCATCTGTAAAACAGGGTAATACTAGAACCTATTCAGAGGGTAGTGGTTGTGAAAACCAAACCCGTTGTATCTATTAAGTGCTTAAGACAGTGCCTGTCGCAGAGCAAATACCCAAGCGCATAAACAAGCCACTTGGCACCTCTGTGCCAAACTGCATTCAGGCAGCCGCATGCAGCCGAGCAGAGCTGGTGCGCGTGAGCATGTCGCACACAAGCAGGTAAGAGGTGCCCGCGTGCCCCTCCTCGGGGGACACAGGCCTCAAGGCAAATGGCACATGCTAGGGAGTGCCCTGCGGAAGAGGGGGTGAGTTGGGGAGGGCCCACCGCGGAGCAGAGAGGAAGATTCCCGACTCTTAGAGACCAGACTCTAGTCTACCTCCGAATTCTCCCAGCTCCCAGGGCTTCCTGGTAGGAGACTGGTGGGAGCTTTCCTGTTGCCACAGAGACCAAAGTCTCCAGAAAGCAAAGGACCTGGTCACTGCCCTTTTTCTGGGCAAAGCTAAGCCAGCGTGCAAAGCTCCCTGACCCCACCAGGGCTCTCACCCCTGCCAAAGGCTGTGTGTGATGCCCTCCCAGACACTGGCCCCGGCTGCACCAGCTCTACTCCCTGCATGCTTGTTCTTCTCCAAGGGGCGCTCTGGGCCCCTATAGATCAAGAAGGACGTGACCCCTGCCCTGTGGTGCCATAGGGTGGAGAATGAAGCACACAGCTACCTCTTACCTGAGACAAATGTTCACATAGGAGATGCCTCACTGGGTTCAGCCTGAGGCCTGGTCAGTGGCTTAGTCAGACTGGGGGCCAGGGTTTGGTCTGGAGCCAGAGTCAGGGCCGACTCTTGAAGAGTGTCACCCTGAGCTGAGGTGGCATTGAAACCCTGCAACTCCCCTTCTTCTTTGCTGGTCCAGAATGGTATCGACATCTACAGCCTCACCGTGGACTCCAGGGTCTCGTCCCGATTTGCCCACACGGTCGTCACCAGCCGAGTGGTCAATAGGGCCAGTACTGTGCAGGAGGCCACCTTCCAGATGGAGCTGCCCAAGAAAGCCTTCATCACCAACTTCTCCATGTAGGTGTCTTCCCACCTTCCTCCCCTCTCCACACCCCCCAGTGCTATGACTCCATCTGCTCTGTGCCAGCAAACCCTCTTCTTGAAGTGAGGCATGCCAGGGTGTACATCTTCAGGAGTACACCCTGCACGTGGGGGGCACACAGGGAACAGGGACTTGTTCTCAAAGATGCCCCCGTCCTTCCCTCCATCCAGCCATTCATCATCCCTAAGTGTTGTCCAGGTGGCAGGCAGAGAACCACAGCATCTTTGTGGCTTTGCCTTTGAGGAGCACAGACTTGAGGCCTCCTGAAGCCACACCAGGCAAGAGGGAGTCACCGAGATGCACATTCCAGCTCAAAGTACAGAAAACCTCCTAGATCCTTGGCTTCCCCACAGTGGAGAGTGGCTTGAGGAGGATTCTCCTAGTTATGCCCCAAGCTGGGATCCTGCAGAGGACATTTTTGCTCAGGCTGCATGAGAGACACCTGAGGTTTCTCTGAACTCTGTGTGCCAGTGATGGTCCTTACTTTGTCCTCTGCCACCCTCCCCTACCCTTCCCAACTCAGTTTTGTAATGTTTACTAAATGCACCAGGACGCTGTCTGTCCCTTGCTGCCAGGAAAAGCTGTGATTTAGGACAAGAGTAAGGCTTTTCCCAGAAACAGAGAGGGCGATAGTGGGGCAGAGAGGGAGTGTCTCTCATGCAGGGTCCACACTGGGGCCTCTGGAAAACTGCAGTGGGGGCTGGTCTCCTCCCTCAGGCCCCACGCACCCCTCACTCCACAGCAGCCCCTACTTTTCCAAACCCAGAGCCCGGGCCTATGCTGCCCAGCTTGCAGTGCAAGCCCTAGGGGCCGTGTCAGCCTTCGACATGGATGCCAGGGTCAGCAGTTGCCAGGTCCAGGCCCGTTGCATCTGCTGAGAGCCCAGGACTGTCACTTGCATTCTCTGGACCCAGATCCTGTTGCTGCATGAGTTAGGGGAGCAGAGGGCAGGTTCTCTGCTCCCTGACCTGGCCGGGAGCCCCAGCTGGGCATCTGGAGAGATCAAGCACTGCCTACCCAGGAGGAGAAGCGCCGCTGCCCACTCACCGGCCCCATCTGGGGCTGGAGTTAAATTATAACCAGGAAGATCAGGCAGGAGGGACGCATAGTCCTGACATCCTGGCTGCTCCCCCTCCTGCCCACTGCCACACACTCCCACACTTCCATATCACCCACAGATAGATAGAGCAGGTGAAGTTGACCAGGCACATCCCTACTTACCCCACAAGGAGGCTCTGGCGAAGTCATTTTCCTCCCTGAGAAATGTCCTGGGCCATTCTTTCTCAGCCCCCAAAGGATGGCTGCTAGGAGTGTGTCCACACACTCAGGAATCCCGCCCACTAGTTGTCCAAAACCTCCCTCCAGATATGCCAGCCTACCTGCAGGGTGCCTGCCTCTTATGGGAGGGAAGGGGGAGACTGCTGTAGGCCGAAAGGGCTCAGAGCCTCCAGCCCTGCGTCTCCTTCCTCCTCAGTCCTGGCCCCACATGGCTGCACGCAGGGCTGGGAACAAGTGTGGCTCAGAGAGCTCTTGCTGGTGATGAACTGGTTCCCTGGAATGGTCTGTGAAGTGGAAGGGGCAGGTGGGAATGTGGGCCAGTTGGGCCAGACTGGACAGGTGGAGAGAAGGCAGGACTTAGCCCGGCCCTGCCCCTCTGCAGCCTCCCCTTCATCCCGTCTATAAAATGAATGCTTACTGTTACCGTACACACCTCTGGGAGCTAGAGGCCTGGCGCACTTTGCAGAGTGCCCTGTGCAGAGTCTTGTATGCAGTAGGTGCATAATAAATGGCCCCGGGCTCAGGCAAAGATGGGAGTCACTGTGTCAAGAGGCACACCAAGTCCAGAAAGGCTCTCTGGAGGAGGCAGGAGTGGAATGGAACCCTCGCACCAGGCTCTCAACAACTCCCACCCTTCTGCCCCCAGGATCATCGATGGCGTGACCTACCCAGGGATCATCAAGGAGAAGGCCAAAGCCCAGGCGCAGTACAGCGCAGCAGTGGCCAAGGGAAAGAGCGCTGGACTTGTCAAGTGAGCTGGCAGGGGGCAGCTTCAGCAGAGAGGGTCTAAACATAGGCCACCCTGCCTTTGGCCCTTAACCCTGCCCCCACCTCCACCAGCCTTACCCCACCTGTCCTGGAGGGGCAGGCCTGATGCCCTTCTCCCCCAGGGCCACCGGGAGAAACATGGAGCAGTTCCAGGTGTCAGTCAGTGTGGCTCCCAATGCCAAGATCACCTTTGAGCTGGTCTATGAGGAACTGCTCAAGCGGTGTCTGGGGGTGTATGAGCTGCTGCTGAAAGTGCGGCCCCAGCAGCTGGTCAAGCATCTGCAGGTACCTGCTGCTGCCTCTTCCAGGGAGGCCGCCTGCATGACCCTTGCCCTGCTGAGGACGGCCCCTCTTTGCCCCTGGGCCTCGTGTGAGCCCCAGCCCAGGCTCCTGGCTGACCCAGGGACCCACATCTTGCCTCCAGATGGACATTCATATCTTCGAGCCCCAGGGCATCAGCTTCCTGGAGACAGAGAGCACCTTCATGACCAACCAGCTGGTAGACGCCCTCACCACCTCGCAGAATAAGACCAAGGTGGGTCTGTTGTGGTCAGCAGGCAAGGGTACCAAGAACCCTGCCTTCAGGCCAGCCCTATAAGCCTGGATTTCCAGAGAGCTGGATAGGCTCTCCGTCCAGTGAGGTGTGAGCTGGAGAGGCTCTTGAGATCTCTGTGTCCTTGCTGTCATTTGGCAGATGGGAAGGGCAAAGCCTAGAGGACTGTGGTGTCCTCGTATGAGCCCTGAGATCTGTCTGGGAAGGGGTTGGAGAGTAGACTGATGTGAGGGTCCTGGGGCCAAGTGGAGAGGAGGAGATGGTGGGACTGCACATATCCTGGAACAGCCTCTGCTTGCACAACTCCAGGAACAGGGCGCTCATCACACCCCTCCCGTATGTGAAAGCGGTCCATCAATAACGCAGCCTGAAAGGAGGTGCCCTGGAATACGGACCCAAGGCTACATCCTGGAATTCTCATTTCCCAATATATGGACTGGGTAGAGGGTGTTGTTGGCCTGGCTTTGCTGTTCCTCCCAACTTCAGCCCAGATTATTCCTCCAGGCTCACATCCAGTTCAAGCCAACGCTCTCCCAGCAGCAAAAGTCCCCAGAGCAGCAAGAAACAGTCCTGGACGGCCACCTCATCATCCGCTATGATGTGGACCGGGCCGTCTCCGGGGGCACCATTCAGGTGGGTGGACTCCAGGCAAGAGCAGAGCAGCCTGCAGGTCTGTCCACCTGCAAGGGCCTGAGCTTGGGTGTTTTAGAAGAGGAAAAGAACCACCCTTACTTAGCAGTGTGCACCAGGGACCGGCACAGACAGAAAACACGTGATTTAGTTGTGTTGTCCCTGAAACTATTCCCTTTCCCAGGCAGAAAAGGTTTGTTTCTGAGAAGATCTGCCCTGTGGGGTTTCCCTCTTTGCCTCTGCTGCTGGGAGGCTCACAACTCAGTTTTACGCACATTTGCAGTAGTTTCTTTCACACTTGTTTCTGGCATTATTATTGTTGTTGTATTTTGGTGCAATCATGGCTCACTGCACCTTCAAACTCCCAGGTTCAAAAGATCCTCCTGCCTCAGCCTCCCTAGTAGCTGGGACTACAGGCATGCAACACCACACCTGGCTAATTTTTTTTTTTTTTTTTCCGATAGAGACAAGGTTCCCCGGGCTTGTGTTGAATTCCTGGGCTCAAGTGATCCTCCCCCCTAAGCCTCCCAAAGTGCTGGAATTACAGGCGTGATTCACCACACCCAGCCATTTCTGCCATTGTTATTATAATTCCCTTTTACTCCATGGTTTTGAAGTCTTCCGTCTTTTCATGGTTGTCAGGTTTATGATGTCTGAACTTTTTAGTATAAGCCATCTGAAATGCTAAAACAAATAGAAGGAAAAGTTGCAGGGAGAGTTCTAGTAGGCTATGCATGAGCAGGGAAGGCTTCTACAAGAAAGGGGCTGGTCTGAGCCCTGAAAGAGGGCAAGGTTTGGGGGAGGTTAGCAGTGGGATGCAAATGGGATTGGAACAGAGCACAGAAACCCAAGAATTTGGGGTAAGGGGGCTGAATGGGGATAGGGCACGATCATAGCCCTGATGGCCTGGGTGGGTCTTACTCTGGTCACAGATCGAGAATGGCTACTTTGTACACTACTTTGCCCCCGAGGGCCTAACCACAATGCCCAAGAATGTGGTCTTTGTCATTGACAAGAGCGGCTCCATGAGTGGCAGGAAAATCCAACAGGTAGGTCCTGTGGCCCAGAACAGGGCCCTGAGAACTCCCAGGCCCTTCACGCTATCAGCTATGGTCCGACAGGCAGACCCCCTTCCTTCACCTTTTGGCACCGTGGGGCAGGTGGCTCTCAGGAGCCAAGGTTGGCCAGAGCCTAGGGCAGCCCCTGTTCCTAGAGCCGATACCATGACCTCACGCCTGAGACAGGAGTCCAAGGATGCCAGCCCAAGGGCACACGAGCCCTCAGGGGCTTCCTTCTGAAGCAGTATTCCCTCTCCCTGACCAGACCCGGGAAGCCCTAATCAAGATCCTGGATGACCTCAGCCCCAGAGACCAGTTCAACCTCATCGTCTTCAGTACAGAAGCAACTCAGTGGAGGCCATCACTGGTGCCAGCCTCAGCTGAGAACGTGAACGAGGCCAGGAGCTTCGCTGCCGGCATCCAGGCCCTGGGAGGTAAGTTCTTCTGTGGCCCTGCAGGGTGGGGGCTTCCAGGGCTCCTGGCTGGGGGCCACCTTGAGAGTGTGTGCTCCTCAGGGACCAACATCAATGAGGCGATGCTGGTGGCTGTGCAGTTGCTGGACAGCAGCAACCAGGAGGAGCGGCTGCCCGACGGGAGCGTCTCGCTCATCATCCTGCTCACCGATGGCGACCCCACCGTGGGTGAGGGCCCTGCCTGCGACTCCAGGACACGCTGCATGGGGAGGCGGCTGGGGCTGCACCTGGGCTTGCTGTGGGACCTGGGCAGGGAGAGGGGGTCACTGAGGCCCCTCGGCTCTGAGGTTCCAGAACTATTCATCAAGCAAATCACTGTTTTCTCACCCTCATCCCAAACCCCTGGGTCCAGGGGAGACTAACCCCAGGAGCATCCAGAAAAACGTGCGGGAAGCTGTAAGTGGCCGGTACAGCCTCTTCTGCTTGGGCTTCGGCTTCGACGTCAGCTATGCCTTCCTAGAGAAGCTGGCACTGGACAACGGTGGCCTGGCCCGGCGCATCCATGAGGACTCGGACTCTGCCCTGCAGCTCCAGGTGCCAGCATGCCCCAGGTGGGCTGCACAGAGAAGTGGGCAGACCCAGCCTGGCCTTTATGACACCCCCAACTCTGCAGGACTTCTACCAGGAAGTGGCCAACCCACTGCTGACAGCAGTGACCTTCGAGTACCCAAGCAATGCCGTGGAGGAGATCACTCAGAACAACTTCCGGCTCCTCTTCAAGGGCTCAGAGATGGTGGTGGCTGGGAAGCTCCAGGCCCAGGGGCCTGATGTGCTCACAGCCACAGTCAGTGGGAAGCTGGTGAGTGTGGCCAAAGCCACCCTGGAGGGGAAGGGCAGCCTCCACCTCTGCATCCGGAGGGGCTGGGCTCCAATCCCAGACCTGCCCCGCTCCAGCTTTCCCCTCTGCTGCCTGTGGATGACACAGGGGTATGGCAAGGATTCAATGAGAAAATGGAGTGATTCTCATGAGACCACCTGTGCTGTGCCCAGCACATACAGGCCCTCAGCAACGGGTGTGTGCACCCGTGAGCACAGGTGAGGGCAGGGATTCCTCCCTAGTTGTCATCCCCTCCTGTCCTGGTACCAGCCCTCTCAGGTTGCAGTTGGACAGGGGAGGGCTGCTCCTATTTCACAGATGAGCAGACTGAGCTCCAGGCAGGGCAGACAGCTTGCCCTGGGCCCCACTGCAACCGGGCCAAGAGCCCAGCTTGCTACATGGCACCCTGTCCTTGCCCAGCCTTCCCTGCCTCCTTCCAGGGACCCCCTGTCATTCCACAAAGAGAAACTGAGCACCAGCCCTGCGGCAGGGCCTTCTTCAGCCCCTGGGGTGCAGCGGTGAATGAGGTTGACCCCTCCGTGCCCTCATAGGAGAGACAGCCCAAGGACGTGTCATCACACAAACAAGCTACAGGCTGGGATCTAACCCCGGACTCAGGGGAGCAGCACTAGGAGCCCCAGCCTGGCCTGGGGATCAGGGAGGGTTTTCTGGAGGAAGCCCAGCAGAGACTAAGGGATAAGTAGGAGGTGGGAAGAGTCCAGATGGGGCAATGGAGGAATATGTTAGGCCCCTGTGGCATGAGGGCAGCGAGTGTGAAGAGAATAGCAGTGGGCGTTGGGGGCCCATGGCCTTGTCTCAGGACAAGTCCCCAAGTGTCATGACTGTTGGTACAGGCTGTGTGGCCACCCTGCCTGGCTTCAAACCCAGCTCTGCCACCTCCCAGATGGGAGACATGGAGAAGTCACTTAATCTCCATGTACCGCAGTTTCCTCCTATGTAAACATGGGAATAAGTCACTGCCCCCTCAGAAAGCCACTGTGATTGATGTCCAGTGTAAGCACACCATACATGTCAGCAGCTGATTTAGATTGGAGGCCGTGGGTTCCCACAGTGCAGAACCCAACGTGGTTCCGGAGAGTTCACAGACAGACATGGCTTTGTTTTAGTAGTTATTTACTTATTTTCATGTGTATTCTGAAAAATATGACCTGAACCTCAGACCTAAGTTTTTGTTTTTGTTTTTGTTTTTTTCTTTGAGACAGAGGCTCGCTCTGTCGCCCAGGCTGGAGTGTGGTGGTGCGATCTCGGCTCACTGCAAGCTCCACCTCCTGTGTTTACGCCATTCTCCTGCCTCAGCCTCCCGAGTAGCTGGGACTACAGGTGCCCGCCACCTCGCCCGGCTAGTTTTTTTTTTGTATTTTTAGTAGAGACGGGGCTTCACCATGTTAGCCAGGATGGTCTTGATCTCCTGACCTCGTGATCCGCCCACCTTGGTCTCCCAGAGTGCTGGGATTACAGGCGTGAGCCACCGCGCCTGGCCCCGATCCAAGATTTTATGGGTATAAAGCCAAGTAAAAATTGTTAGCCTACTTAAAGTTCATTTAAGGAAAAATATCAATTAAGTAGCTGTATGTGTGGATGGGGCAAAATCCATGCAGGTGGCCTGTGTGTGCCGAAGCTGTGGAAAGCCAGCCAGGGTGAGAGACAGGCTGTTCCAGTGGGAGTAGAGGCACAGGTCTGATCCACATTGTGAAAAGGTCTCCTGACCACTCGGTGAGCTCTGGTAGGAGAGGCCTGGGATTCCTCTGACTTAGAAGCCCATTTCCCAGGCAGCGAGCTGGGTCAGTCTGAGACCACAGGCCCCTCCCTGAGGGAGGAGGGAGCGGGTTCACACAGAGCTTGGGTGCACGCTTCCCTGTCATGGTCCCACAGTGGCCAGCCGCAGAGGGGCCTGTTTCCACAGGGACAGCCGTTGGGGTGGATGGAGCCCCAGACCCAGAGCCACGACATCTGCCTTCTGTTCTCAACTCTGCCTCTGAGCCCCGGGAAGGTCCTTCCCTCCCTGTCCCTTTCCCCCACCTTTGGGGTAAGGGCAGGCTGTAGCTAGGGACCCTTCCTGCTCCACACTTCACTTGCAAATCCTTCCTGCTGCTGTTTCTACACTGGCCTGAGGTTCCCATCCCTTTCTTCCAGAGGTTTGGCTGATCTGAGTCCTGGCGCCGTGCCTGCCTTGTTGTACCTGGGCTACTTTGTTACCTTTTATCTTCACCTCCGTCTCATCCCTGTATGCTCTGTGACTGAGCCCCTTGCACCCCTAAGCCCCCTCCTTACCCCCACTCAAAGGAAATGCGGTCCCCACAGTCAGTGTGTGGGACCTGCCCCAGCTCCAATCATGGAAGAGCTCGGAAGTGCCAGGCCAGATGCAGATGTCCGGCCCTCACTGTTCCTGCCCTGGCTGGGCCCCTCTTTCCAGCCTACGCAGGACATCACTTTTCAAACCGAGTCCAGCGTGGCAGAGCAGGAAGCAGAGTTCCAGAGCCCCAAGTATATCTTCCACAACTTCATGGAGAGGCTCTGGGCATACCTGACTATCCAGCAGCTGCTGGAGCAGATGTGAGTGCATCAGCACCTCCCTAAGCCTGTCGGTAGGGGGCAGGCACCGGTGGCACGGGACAGCACCTAAGCATGGAGAGAGGGGGGTCTTGGTATCATGTCCAAGCTCCAGATTCTCCCAGAGGGACCTCCCTAGAAGGGGCTGGATGGAAAATCTGTTCCCGAATTCAGGGACCTCCTGAGTTCTGATGTCCTTCACCTACAGTGTCTCCGCATCTGACGCTGATCAGCAGGCCCTCCGGACCCGAGCGCTGAATTTATCGCTTGCCTACAGCTTTGTCACACCTCTCACATCTATGGTAGTCACCAAACCCGAAGACCAAGAGCAGTCTCAAGTTGCTGAGAAGCCCGTGGAAGGCGGTGGGTGTGGGGTTGAGATCTCAGCCTCCCAGGTAGCAGAGTTTGGACCCAGCATTCTCCCGACTCTTCCCTGCATCCTGACCAAGACCCCAACCGTGCCCCCAACAGACTCCCCCTGGGAGATTCAGCCTATTCACTGATGAGGAAAGTGAAGCCGGGTCTCCTATCTCCCCAAATTCATTGCACCTACGATATAGTCCAGGATTGGGTAGCAAGATAAAACACAAGCGCTTTGAATTGATGGAAACCACCCTGACAGTGTCTGTCTGTGTCTCTGTCTGTCTGTCCGTCTGTCTCTCTCTCTCTTTGTTTTATCCAGAAAGTAGAAACAGGAACGTCCACTCAGGTAAGCAGCGAACATCCTCAAAGGCTGTGCTGGGTGGTGGTCTGCTAACACAGCGTCCAGGGCGCCAGCCCTGTGAGGTTACTGGCCAGGGCCCAGGTCCGCCCAGGCCTCTCCAGCCCAGCCCTGCTGCCGGGAGGCAGCATAGTCTGACCCAGCACGCTGGTGCATTTAGTCACCTGTGCATTCAAATATTGGCTGCTCCTCCGGCCCTGTCCGCAGCACTGGGAATACAGTCCCCATCCAAGTGGGGCCACAGGAAGGTGGGTGCAAGATGCAAACCCAGGTCCCACTGATTTCCAGGTTCCACTTTCTTCAGATATTATCTCCAGGGAGCAAAAATGCCAAAACCAGGTGACAAAGTAGGAGGTGGGGGGAGGGGAGATTGACAGATTGGGCTCGGTCCTGGCTATGGAGGGGAGTGCCTTGCCCAGCTCCTCTGGCTGGTGACAGCCCTCGGGCCTCAGTTCAGTTGTATCTGATTAGGACTTGACCACACAGAGGCTTCCTTCTCTCCAAGAAGAGGATTGAGTAGACAAGGTAGTTTGAGGGGTTCTGCCACATCCCCGGGGGGGCGGAGTTTGAGGGGGGTCCATTGTTGTTCCAGCATTGATTATCTCCCAGCTGTGGGGGGAGAGGCTCCCTGAGTTGGCCGGGTGTGGGGAGAGGGGACGTAGTTGCCCTCTCCGCACCCACTCGTGGGTGGATCTGAAGCCCTGACTGTGAGGACCCACACCCCACCTCAGAGAAGACTGCATCTGTCAACTTCTCCAAAGCTGGAGCTGCTGGCTCCCTGTTGAATTTCGGATCCGGGGTTCTCAGCTCGGGGCAACTTGGACCCCCAGGACCTCCTGATGCTCCTGACCGTGCTGCTCTCCATCCCTTCCGCCGTCTGGCCATCTGTAAGCCGCCTTCCAGTCCTGTGAGGGCCTCAGTTTCCTCATGGTGGTCCTTGAGCCTGCCCCACAGAGGGGGTGGGGGTAAAGCACGCACTGCAGGCCAGGCCAGGGATGGCTGACGAGGGCACGATGTGAAGTAATTGTGGGTCAGTTCAACCTGGGATCATTTACTGGGGCCGGGGCGGGGAGTGCATTTCCTAAGGAGGCTGTCCTCACCTTCCCAGCTCTCTGCAGCTGCCCCATGCCCAGTCCTCAGCGTCTCATCTCAGGTGTGAGCTCTCCCAGGTCCTTCAGCTGCCCTGAGGTTGTCAGACCACAGGCTGTGACGGAGCAGCCTCTCCCACACTCCTTGTTCAGAGGGGACCCTAGGCCCTAAGAGGGGCAGGGACTGGCCAAGTGTGCACGTCACAGCGCTCTTTGGAGCAGTCCTTGCCAGCTTCTTCCCTCTGAAGGCCCCTCTCCCCACTACCCCTTGTACGGACATCAGGCCTCCCCTCCCCAAGGCAGGACTTCACCTGTCCTTTACTTTCACTGAGTAGGATCCACTATACTCTAGAGGCTGACTCATGAGGAAACCTTCTAGGAAGGGAGGGCTTCCTCCGTTCAGAAAGTCAACAGAGGTCCCTTGAACAGTTTCTGATCCCCAAATCTGCACTCGAACACAGCTGCAGAGCCAGGCTGGACCTATCCCTGACAGCATGCTCTTCTGTTTGAAAATCTCCCATGACAAAGGCCATTCTAGGTGGCGCATATGTGTGGCAGGATGGGGGCTGCAGCTTGGAGGCGGCGGTGGCTGTGCCGCTGGTTGCTCGCCTCCTGACGGTCTCCCTGCTCCCTTTCTGTTCCTGATGTTCCTGCCCTGATGCCTGCTTCAGCACCACCAGCCACCTCAAATCCTGATCCAGCTGTGTCTCATGTCACGAATACCAAAATCAAAGGTGCTCCCAAGACCAGAGGCCCTGTCCTAACAGGGGGATCCTGGGAGGGGAGTGACCTGTCACGTGAGCGTCTTGATGTTGAAGTAGAGAGGGAACCCGGCCACACCTAGTCACTACTCCTTCCCTCAACCTCCCACTCCTCAGGAAGGGGCTGCCTAAACCCAGACTTTTTCTTCTTTTAGAAGCAACCATGACAGCCCAAACCCCAGGTAAGTTCCCAACCCCCTGGGCCCCCTTCCACATCCTTGCCCCTAGCCTGCCCTTCCTGCTCCAGGAGCTGTGCCCCGGCTGTCCCAGCCCCCATACAGGCTCCCTCCGCCATCCTGCCACTGCCTGGGCAAAGCGTGGAGCAGCTCTGTGTGGACCCCAGACATCACCAGGGGCCAATGAACCTGCTCTCAGACCCTGAGCAAGGTGAGAGGGGGCACACCCAGAGAGACCCAGACACCATGACACACACCCACCACCTGCCCACAGAGACACACACAGTGCGTGCAGGCTGGCCCCACGCAGGCCCCTCCCAGATCATAGCATGGTCCTGCCTCCAAGCCCCGGCATGGGCACACACTCACACAGCCACCCCAGGGACCTTCCACTGGGCACCTTGTGTGCAGGTGTGGGTGGCCTAGGCACAGATAAGCATGGCAGCCATGTGGAGGTGAGCCTAGAGGAGGAGCCAGGGTGGGGCAAGGGTCCAGGGAGCTTCCTGGGGTCGCATAGGGATGGCAGGGCCCTGGCAGGCACGCAGAGACCAGCATGAGGATGTTCCAGATGGAGGAGTTAGTGCCTGCAGATACAGAGCCCCAAAAGATGAGACCCTAGAAGGTGTGGATGAGAATGGCAGGAAGAGACAGGGGTGCTGGCTGGGCCCTGCCCCTTCAATCCTGAACCAGACGTGGAGACACACTCCACTCAGCGATGCTCACCCCCCCTCCGCCCAGCCCCACTCAAAGCCAAAGGACATCCACGGCTTTCTCATTCCTCAGATGCATGTGGTCTCCCACTTCCTCACTCAGCCCTGGGAGTATCTTTCCTGAGGGTAGGCAGCACCGATTCTCCATCTTACCCTTGGCTGCAGCATCTAGCTCAGGGCCAGGCGCTCCATAGGCCGTTCTGAAGGCTTGTGGACTGGAGACAAGTTAATTCTCAAAGGCCTCATCTGAGGGTGGCCATCGCTGAGGATTTAGGGGCCCCTCCAAAGCCATAGACACCAGGGGTGAGTGGAGAGATTGTGGAGCCAGCCCCCAGTGTGAAGGAGTGCTGGGAAAGGGACGCCCCTCCTGATGAGGGAGGGAGCTGCCGCGGAACTCCAGGGGCTGTGATCAGGGAGGACTCCCTGTGCAGGTCGGTGTCAGCCCTGGCTGGGGCCCAACTTTGACCTCTCTGATTTGGTCTTCCCAGGGGTTGAGGTGACTGGCCAGTATGAGAGGGAGAAGGCTGGGTTCTCATGGATTGAAGTGACCTTCAAGAACCCTCCGGTCCGGGTTCATGCATCCCCTGAACACGTGGTGGTAACTCGGAACCGAAAAAGCTCTGAGTACAAGTGGAAGGAGACGCTGTTCTCAGTGATGCCCGGGTAAGGCCCAGGCTGGAGCCCGGGGCCAGGGGTTGCCCTTTCAGGCTACAGTGGCTGATGATGGTACCAGCAGGTGGCCTGAAGCCATGGACCCAAGAATGGAGTGGCTACACTCACAGGAGGTGCAAAGAGACAAGAGCCCTGCCGCATACCCCTGCAGTTCCAGAGGGCACTGAGGAGTTGTCCTGGGGACCTAACCCAGGTCGCTATCCCATGCAGGAGACAGTGTGGTTTGGAGCTAGCTCTGCTGCTCATCCTTTGTGACCTTGGGCAGGCAGCTTAGTTCCTCTGAGCCTCAATTTCTTCACTAATAACCAGTAATCATCATCCTGGCCCAGAGTCAGAAGGCTGAGGGGAGAACCCAGTGAGAGAGTGTAGTTGGGAGCACTTTGCCATCAGATGATGCAGTGCCCCCCAGGCACCCCACAGCATGGCGCTGTCTACGTAGTGACGTGATATTCTGATGACAGTAGTGAGAAGCTAGAGAGCACTGTTGACAGCAGGTTACCAGCATTCTCTTTAGCATATCCTTGGAGCTTTGCTAAGGAGACACAAGTCAGTGGCCTCAAATACTGAGCAGCTGGTGAATAATGGAGGCAGAAGGCCACTTCTTCTGGGTGGGGGAGCTCACTGCTTCACAGTGGCCGTCCAGGGAGTCTTCCAGTTTTGCAGATCGCGAGGGGCCTCGGGGAAGGGCTGAGGCCCTGGTCCTCCATGGGCAGTGGCCTCCGAACCCCCGGCCTGTGTCATAGCTCACCCTTTTCCAAGTGTGGAGAGCCTTGTCCAGCCCTGCCTCACCCAGCTCTCCTCGGGAACTCCCTTGCATTTGACAGATGAGTGCACATCCAGCTAATCCAAGGTCTCACCCAAAAACCTTCCCAAGTTCATAAAAGATCTAGGCCCAGAGTGGTGGCTCACGCCTATAATCCCAGCACTTTGGGAGGCTGAGGTGGGTGGATTGCCTGAGCTCAGGAGTTTGAGACCAGCCTGGGAAACACGGTGAAACCCCATCTCTACTAAAATACAAAACATTAGCCAGGCATGGCAGCATGCACCTGTAATCCTAGCTACTTGGGAGGCCGAGACAGGACAATCACTTGAACCTGGGAGGTGGAGGTTGCAGTGAGCCGAGATCATGCCATTGCACTCCAGCCTGGGCGACAGAGTGAGACTCCATCTCAAAAATAAAATAAAAGATCTAAAAGTTGGCCAGGCACGGTGGCTCATGCCACCCAACACAAGTGTAATCCCAACACTCTGTGAGGCCGAGGTGGGTGGATCACTTAAGGCCAGGAGTTTGAGACCAGCCTGGCCAACATAGTGAAACCCCGTCTCTACTAAAAATACAAAAACTAGCCAGGTGTGGTGGTGGGCACCTGTAATCCCAGCTACTCAGGAGGCTGAGAATTGCTTGAACCTGGGAGACGGAGGATGTAGTAAGCTAAGTTAATACCACTGCACTCCAGCCTGGGCGACAGAGTAAGACCCTGTCTCCAAAAAAAAAAAAAAGAAAAAAAAATCTAAAATTCCTTGCTATCTGGTAGATTCACTAAAATCAATAGCATTTTTATGCCTAGAAAATGAAATAGAAGTAAAATCCTATTAATTATGGGGAGAGAGTGTCCAAATACTTTCATGAGCTACAGAAGACATAAAGAAGAATAGGTGGCCGGGTGCCGTGGCTCATGCCTGTAATCCCAGCACTTTGGGAGGCTGAGGCAGGAGGATCACAAGGTCAGGAGACTGAGACCATCCTGGCGAACACTGTGAAACCCTGTCTCTACTAAAAATACAAAAAAATTAGCTGGGCAGGGGAATGGCATGAACCTGGAGGGCAGAACTTGCAGTGAGTGGAGATCACTCCACTGTATTCAAGCCTGGGCAACAGAGCGAGACTCCATCTCAAAAAAAAAGAAAAAAGAAAAATAGGCCGGGCGCAGTGGCTCCTGCCTGTAATCCCAGCACTTTGGGAGGCCGAGGCAGGTGGATCACCTCAGGTCAGGAATTGGAGACCAACTTGGCCAACATGGCGAAACCCCGTCTCTACTAAAAATACAAAAATTAGCCGGGTGTGGTGGCGGCACATGCCTGTAATCCCAGCTACTCAGGAGGCTGAGGCAGGAGAATCGCTTGAACCCAGGAGGTGGAGGTTGCAGTGAGCTGAGATCACGCCACTGCACTCCAGCCTGGGTGACAAAGCAAGACTCTGTCTCAAAAAAAAAAAAAAAAAAAACCCACATGTTTTAGATTGAATTGAAACAACAGGACAGTATATGTTTAGGGAAAATTTGTTTAAAATAACCTCTGAGTAACAGCAGGGTCTTATTTAACATGCTTAAAGGAACCTAACATTCATGAGAACACCAAAAAGGCAAGAATTTCAAGGGTTATTTCAACTAAAAAAATGAGAAGACAGAATGAGAAGAGGCCTACCCTTTAGACATTAAACACATGATCAAACACGGGTCATCCAAAGAGAGTGCACCATCAGCAGAACAAAAGGGACAGAGTGGATGCATCAGAGAAACTCCTTCAATCATATAAAACTAATTTATGAGAAAGTGAATTTAAGAAAACCAGAGGCCGGGTGCGGTGGCTCACGCCTGTGATTCCAGCACCATGGGAGGCTGAGGCTGGCAGATTGCTTCAGCTCAGGAGTTCGAGACCAGCCTGGGCAACATGGTGAAACCCTGTGTCTCTTAAAAATAAAACAAATTAGCTGGGCATGGTGGCATGTACCTGCAGTACCAGCTGCTTGAGAGGCAGAGGTGGGAGAATCACTTGAGCCGAGGAGGCACAGGGGGCAGTGAGCTGAGATCACACCACTGCACTGCAGCCTGGGGGACAGAGTGAGACCCTGTCCCCGCCCCCACAAAAAAGAGAAAGAAAAGAAGTGCTGGGGAAACCGGACATCATTAGGTTAACTTTGGTCCTATTTTACCAATGAGGAAACGGAAACCCAGATTTAAGGGCCTTCCCACCCAAGGCCACTCCATGACTTCCTGGACAAGAGGGGAAGCCCAGCCCACTCCCCACCCTGACTGCTGAGGCTCCGAGCACACGTCTCTACCTTCCCGCTCAAGACGCTGGGTCTTTCCACAGCCTGAAGATGACCATGGACAAGACGGGCCTCCTGCTGCTCAGTGACCCAGACAAAGTGACCATCGGCCTGTTGTCCTGGGATGGCCGTGGGGAGGGGCTCCGGCTGCTTCTGCGCGACACTGGCCGCTTCTCCAGCCACGTTGGCGGGTCCCTTGGTACTGTGCCCGGCCTTCCTCAGAAACCAGCTGTGCCCGGGAACAGGCGGTGCCCTCCCCTGCACGCGCCTCCCAGGCTCCCTCTGTCTCTCACCCTTACTGACCCACCCTTTGTATCTCAGGCCAGTTTTACCAGGAGGTGCTCTGGGGATCTCCAGCAGCATCAGATGACAGTAGGCGCACGCTGAGGGTTCAGGGCAGTGACTACTCTGCCACCAGGTGACTTGGCACAAGCAGACCGCTGAGCCTGGCTGGGGTGGGGTGGGGACTGGGAGGCCAGGAGCCAGCCTCTCCAGGGCCCCACTCCTGTCCTTGCCCAGGAACTAGACACAGTCCGGTGGAAGGTTGATGCTGTAGATGTGTCTAAGCCAGCTTTCAGTGACCCCACAAAAGATGGATGGGCTTCTCAGACCCACAGAAAGCACATGGGCCCTGAGATCCCTGGGGTTGGTTGGGGACGGTAGGAACCTCTCCCTGTCCACACCCTGAGCTCCCAGAGCCCTGAACGCTGGAGACCACACGTACTGACTTCTCTAGAGCAGGCTCTGGGTGACTGGGCCTCGTTCGCCTGTGCTGGAGGGAATTCTAGAGGGACCCCAGGACTCCCTACCCTCCATGTTCCTGTCCCCAGCTGTCTCCCTCCTTTCCCACCACACCTGAGATTTGCTGACCACATGCCTATCTGTCTGTCTGTCTTTCCATTTCAGAGAGCGCAGGCTGGATTACCAGGAGGGAGCCCCGGGAGTGGAGATTTCCTGCTGGTCTGTGGAGCTGTAGTTCTGATGGAAGGAGCTGTGTCCAGCCTGTACGATTGGCTGCCCCCTTGCAACTGCAGGGCCGCTTCTGGGGCCTGGACCACCATGGGGGGGAAAAGGTCCCACTCATTACAAATAAAGAAAGGTGGTGTGAGCCCGGGAAGTGGGTGTCTCTGGTTCCCTGTGGCCAAACCCTAGGGCCTCAGCCTTGCATCCTGAACCTTTAGCATCATGGAACACTGAAGCTTCCACTGTCAGCTCTCAAGGGCCCATGGCCAGGAGGGCGCATGCTGAACTTTCAGTCCAGCCCCTTCACTTTACAAACAAGGAAACTGAGCTCTAACCACCCATTTGAGATGTCACTCCCGCCCCCAGCTAGGGGCCCAGGGCTGGAAGCATTCTCCAGGAGCAGAGGTTCAGTCTTGACTACAAAAAAAAAGAGTGAACGGGGTTGGAATTCTTTCTAGTCCAGCTCCTAAACTTTCTCAGTGAGCTTTTGGAGCTCTCTGCAATGAGATTTGCTTTACACAATCTGATTTTCACAGCTGTGCTGAGGAGCAGACCTGTCTGCTCGTTGTCTTGTAAGGAAGCACCGAGTCTTCGAAGGAGACACAGAGGCGAGGCCCCAGGTGCAGCAGGGAAATAGGCCTGTTCCCAGGAACCTCTCGTCTAATGGGGCTGATCTGGGTCCCAACTCTAAATCCTGTGCTGTTGAGGGTCTCCTTCCCTGTTCTTGCCCCAGAGTTAGGCACCCCAAAGATTCCACCAATTCCTGTATGGGCAACGTATACTTTAAAAAATTTATGGCTGGGTGTAGTGGCTCACACCTGTAATCCCAGCACTTTGAGAGGCCAAGGCGGGAGGATCGATTGAGTCCAGGAATTTGAGACCAACCCGGGCAACATGATGAAACTCCATCTCTACAAAAAATACAAGTTAGCTGGCATGGTGGTACATGCCTGTAGTCCCAGCTACTTGGGAGACTGAGGTTGGAGGATTGCTTGAGCCTGGGAGGTCATGGCTGCAAAGAGCTGTGATTATGCCACTGCATTCCAGTCTGGGCAGCAGAGCAAGACCCTGTGTCAGAGAAGAAACAAAAATTACTATTACCCCACCTACTTCTGAAAAAAGGATATGAGTCTATGGCTCACCAATAAAAAGCTTAAAGAGAATAAAACCAAAATCTATGAGTGTACGGGTAAAAGAGCCAAGCAGGATTGTGAACTCAGGGACATCAGGGTAGGGGAAGCTGCAGCAGTGACGGAGCACAGGGCTTTGCTGTGAGCTTCCTGGAAGTCAAGGTAAAGCAGAAACTGAGCTCATTTGCTTGCTAAAAACACCAGACATCAGGGAAACGTCCTTTCTCAGCTCTTGAGCTAGAAGAGGGTATTTGCTCAATGGGTCTTTCTAAAAGGGTCAAAGTACAGGCTGGTGAGAGGGGTCACCAGCGGCACAGAAACGCTCCCCCCTGCATTGCTGCCTCCCCATCGAGCCTCCTTGGCAGATAGGCAGCTCAGGCAGAGTCGCTTTGTAAAGGTTGTTCCAGGGGGCTCAGGCCAGGGCTGTGTGACATGACAGCAGCTCAGGGGGATTTGCTGTGGGGCTAGCCCTGTCGTACAGGGATGAGAGAGGTGTGCCACCCCAAGCTCACCCTCTGGGACATGACCCCCTGGACTGGCTGCTGAATTTGTGCAACAGCAGAGGAGTCACAGTTGATTTTCTGGCACTGCCAGCACCTGCAGGGCAGGTGTTCTCTGTGACAGTTGAAAATAGGCCCATGCTCTTCACTCTTTCATCCAGCAAGTGCTTTCCAGCTTGGACCAGGCCCTGACTGAGTACTGTGGGCACACTGGGCACCATGGCACACGCAATGCCTGTGGTGGTAACTGCCCCCCAGAAAATAACCAGGTGCTGCGGGAGCCCAGAGGGAGACATGGGGATGATCAGGAAGCCTGGGGGTGGCAGGGAAGGCTTCCTGGAGGCAATGTGGGGGCTGAGATTTGAAAAATGGAGAGAAGTTAGCCTAGTGGAAAAGGAGGGCAAGGACACCAGGTGGTAGGAACAGCATGCGTCCAGGCCTGGAGCCAGGACACTGTGTGCTAAGTTTGGGGAAGATGACGGAAGGAGATGCTGTGGGATGAGGTGGAAGGAGAGGGGGGCCAGCACAGGTGGTGCACACCTCACCACAGAGCATGGCTTCTACCCTGAAAGGGGACGGAGGGCCGAACAGGGACAGGAGGGACCAGGGTGACGTGGAATGGGGAGAAGGCAGAGTCTACCTAGCTTCTGCCTGCATAGATGGCCTCCTGGCCTATGGGTTAAGCGTAGCCGACTCCTGCCTCCCAACCTGTTCACGTGACTGCTACTGGAGCTGTCTTCCTGGCGACACCTGAGGAGGACCAGAAACCATAACGAGGACGCCTTTTCACACCCTTCGCCTGGCAGGATCCTTCTCCCCATTTCATAGATGTGGAAACTGACCTCAAGATGACTGTTTTAAAGCTATGTGGGCCGGGGGCAGTGGCTCACACCTATAACCCCAGCACTTTGGGAGGCCGAAGCGAGCAGATCGCTTGAGCCCAGGAGTTCAAGATCAGCCTGAACAACATGGCAAAACCCTGTCTCTGCAAATAATACAAAAATTAGCCAGGTTTGATTGCACATGCCTGTAGTCCCAGTTACTCTGGAGGCTGAAGTGGGAGGATCACCTGAGCTTGAGAAGTCGAGGCTGCAGTGAGCTGTGATCATACCACTGTACGACTGCAGCCTGGGCAATGGGAGTGAGACCCCATCTCAAGGAAAATAATAATAGTAATAGCTATATGGCTCCTCAATCAACCCAGGCTTGAACAGGATGAGGGGACTCGCCCACTATGGAGGGGTCCTTTCTTAGGCCTGGGCCCTTTTAACCTGCCTAGCCTGGCCCTCTGCCACATTCACCCTGGGGCTATGAGGAGGCCTTCAAGATGGGAGCCATGGCTATGTGGCCCCCTCCCTAGAGCAACAACAAGCACCGGCCTGCCATTAGCACCCTGGAGCCACCTGGGGGACTCCTCTGATGACAAACATTTGCCCCTGGACTGTCCTTCATGGCCTCTAGTCCTCTCTCCAGGGACCCCTGCACTGGGAGGCAGGACAACTTCCTTTCATGTCCCCAAGGCCACATGCCATGCCCCACTGACATTTGTGGCACTCCCCAGTCTGATTCCAACCTCCTCCAGTCTTATTGTGCCCCCTGCTCTGACATCAGGCAAAGCCACTCACTGCATCCTCTAACATGATACTCTCTGCCCAGCATGCCCTTACCCCCTCCCCACCCCCAGGCAGAGAGAACAGCAGAGGCAAAGGATGTGGGCAGGACGGGTTATGTTTGCACAGTTGAGAGCAGCCTGTGTGTCTGGAACCCAGAAAGTAAGGGAAGCACCTAGTGTACGAGGGGAAGCTAGAGAGTCCATAGGAGGGACCTTGGTCATGGTTCCAAGAGCCAAGGATGGAAGATGTCATTTGTAGGGATTTAGTCTGCGAGTGGTGATCACATCTGCTCTGTAAAAAGCTCTCTATGGGAAGCAGTAGAGGAAGCAGGGAGACTCAGGAAGTGGCAATTGCAGGTGTCCAGGTGGGAGAGAGTTGTCCAGACTGGAGAGGTCTCAAAGCCCATTGTCCAGGAACCTCTCTCTGACCCTCTACCCCACCACAGACTCATTGGGAGGATACAACAAGTGGTCATCATAAGGTACAATCAGAGGATCCCAGAGATGCCTGGCCCAGCTGAAGACAAACTTGAGCACTCATGAAAATAGGAACTGGATTACTCAACTGTACCCCCAGATCGTGGCCCAGGGTATTGTGTTTATCTGCTGAATTGATGGATGGGTACGTGGGTGGATGGGTGGGTGAATTGATGGTTGGATGGATGGATGGATGGATGGATGGATGGACAAATGGAGAGATGGACAGATGGTAGGATGGATGGGTGGACAGATGCATAGTTGGATGATGAATAGGTAGCTGGGGGATGAATGGATGAATGGACAGATGGTCAGAGGGATGGATAGATAGGTTGATGGGTGGATGCATGCATGGTAGAGGAACAGACAGATGGATGAGTGGATGCATGGGTGAACAGATGGTGGAATGGTGAATGGGTGGGTGGGTGGATGAATGGATGGATGGGTGGAGGGATGGGTGGATGGATGGTGGGTAGATGGATGGATAGATGGAAGGGTGGCTGACATCCCCATTTAGATGTGGGCTGTGTCTGCACTGGAGTATTATCTACTTCTAAAGGTCCTGATTGGAGCTCCTGAGCTGGGACCATTTACTTATCTTATGACTTTCCTGGATACTGAAATACATTCAACCCTTCCTGACTTCTCAGAGCCCCTTTCCTTCAGAGTCAGTTCTTTATTTTTCCCCCAAGCTGTCATACATTTGACTCCCTAAAGTTCCAGTCCAACCAACTCTGTCTCTCAGCTGTGTCAGTGGAGAGGCCCAAGAAGTTGCCTTCCTGCTAACCATCCCCTTTTTTGAGCTGCCATGGGTCCCAGCTGCCTGTTCCCTGGAGCAGAGGCTCATGAAAGCATGTAGAGGCTGGCAACTGTCTGGTCTCAACCTTGGACTTTATTTTCCCAGCCCCTCCCACAGGCCCCTCTCTGTGCCCAGGTTCCAGATGCCACAAAATCTGGGCCATCCATCCCAACAGGAGCTGGCGTGTCTACTCAAAACAGGTTGGGGACAATGTAGTCGGTGTGGACACCATCAATCAGCCCTTCTCCGTTGTTGTGGACGAACCAGCAGACAACCTTCGTGCCAATGCTGGCATCCTTTCTGTAATCTTTCTGGGAGCCTCTGGGGAAAGAGGAGAGATGCTGCAATACTTGGGGTGGGGAAGATGGGTGCCAGGCTCTCTGACCTGAGATTGAAAAAGGGTGGGAAGTTGGCAATCCTAACAGCCCAGAATTCTTTGGTCAAGAATGAAGTTACATGATTATTCTTTCTCAGAAGCCAAGTTTGGGCTTTTTCTTGATTAGGAAGAGCCTGGTAGGGGCCAAGACCTCAAAGAGAAACAAGGGTACCCCACAGAGGACAAAAGCCCACCAGACTAATGTGCCTGGGCAGCGGGGGCTCCTTCCTCCTCCACCTTGCTGAGCAGGTGAGGGTGCTGGAGAAGTCTCCTCACCTAGTGACAGTCAGCTGATGGTTCTTCACCACCAATGTGGCATCTGGCTTTGTGGGGTCAGAGCCTGGCCGGATGTCAGAGACTTTAAAGTCAAAGGGTTGGAAGAATTGCCCTGGTAAGAAAAACATTCATGCTGTCAGACCCTGGCCATTGCCACGGGCAACGTGGCCACTGGCCTTTTAGGGTTTATGCAAGGGCTGAATGGGGTGTTGTAAGCTGGGTACGGGATGGCTAGGAAGGCCTTGTGTATTTCTTTCCCATGCTGCTCTCAGGCCTGAACAGCCTGCAGTCTGAACACTTCATACCCAGCAGCCCATGCGTCTGTGCTGACATCCGGTGACTGTCCACCACGTAGAAGCCTAGAAAGTCACGGTGGACAGGATGTTTCTTCCACACCTGGTGTAGGACGACCACAAAGGTAACCCCATCTCCAAAGGAGACCACCATGTTCTTCTTCCTGTTGATCATCATGGATAGCCTACGAAAGGAGGCCAGAAAGTGGCTGTGGGGCCAGTGGCTGTGACACTGGGCATCTGACTCAAGGGTATCTTGTGTACAAGGCACCTGAGGGCCCACAGACTCTAGAAACTATCTCAGGAGTGTTGGAAAGAGGTTGCCTCATGCACACTGTCTCCCCTCCCGTGAGTGGATCCTTGTGTGTCTATAAGTGGGAAAGAGATGGCTGGCCTATGAGTTTGGAGGCCTGTGGTCCAGCCCCAGGTCAGTCACTGACTTCCTGAATGACACTGGGCAGGCTTCACACCTTCTCTGAGCCTCAGTGGGAGACTGTGGGGGATCTGAAGACAAGAGAGCTAAGAAGATGAGCAGCTACAGAAGAGGCAAAAGGCGGCCATTATCACCTAATGCCTTCACCCAACCAGCTGAACTGTGCAGCTACCAATTCTGGCTCTGACAGGGCCCCAGGGTTTGGTTGGGGGCCACTATGGTCACCCTCCCCTGTGGCAGGAGACTAGATTCTGGGGCCTCTGATCTTTCCTGTGACC